GCACGACACTCCGGCCGTCCGGCTCCTTATTTCCGGTGAGCTGCAAGACGAATGGCTTGCCAGTGTGGGTCCCAGTCATACGGCCATACGCGAAAAGGCCGCGCACAGTATATTTGCCAGAGGACCGGTGTAAGCGGTCAGAATTCCGAACGGGTTTTGAGCTCCAGAGTCGCTAAATGGGACTTGAACCAAACGTGTGACCCCACCAATCCGCTCTCCGAACGAGGAATCCATTGGTGAGGGTCACAGGTTCAGTTCGAGTCCCATTTAGTGAACCGCAGCTCGAAACGCGCCAAGAGTTTTGGCGGCTTTGGGCCGATCTTCTGGCCCACTGTGCCGCGCCACCCCGTGAGGAAAGGGTGCCCACACACTAAAATGCTAAGCACAGTCGTAGGAGACGTTACTGAATTTTTTGGTGCAGATTAATGTGTTGTACGAATTTTGTTCGAAAAACTGCACAACCTTTCTCAATATTTGGAGCAAAACTGCTGACAAATTGGTGCGGAAAGTTCGTAAGCACAATTAACTTCAGCGTCTCGTGCAAAAAACACGTATTCTGCAATCGAGCGATCCCGCAGGGTTGTTCACTGTCTCTCTCGCACCCCGTACGGTTCACCCATTGAGTGTGCGACAGAGACACACAGCGGTGCGGAACGGCGACGCTTCCAGACGAGTGTGCAAGGTGAGTCACCGTCGGGCGGCGCGTCCATAAGTTACAAAGTCCCGGGTTCGAATCCCCGCGCCGCCGCGCAAAAAAGATGTGAGGCGGTGCCGAGGCGCCGTTGGAGTGATTGGGCCCGCGGCACGCCAGTAGGGCTGCCAGCTCGGCCGGGGCGGCACCGGTCGCCGTGCGCCACCCAATACGCTGGGACAATTATTTGACGCCAACAATGGGTCGTTAATGGGGCTGCTGCTGCAGCAGCAGACTGATTCCGACAGTCGCTCTGTCCCTCTCGCACCTCCATGCGGCGCCCCGTGAGTGCGAGAGAGACAGAGCGACGAAAACGACTCTCGGGATCGGTCTGCAGATCGCCGCGCCCCTGCTTCTAGTAAATTGATTCCGCCCCCTTCGACGCTTATTAGGAGCGGCTGGTCCAGCCGGGCGGTCCGTTCCTCCGTCTCTGTCGCACTCACGGGCCGCCCCGCAGGGGTGCGAGAGAGACAGAGCGGCGAGACGATGGACTGCTCTTCGGAGGCGCTCGGCTGGACCGCGTTATATTGAGGCGGGGATTTTCTTGCCGGCTGTATGAGTCTCTGCCCTGCGCTACCGTTGCTGCCTCAACGCCTCCATAAGGCACCGTCGGCCAACGAATTACTGACCTCCCACTTTTTGTTCCAACCCATTAGTACAGCCCAAACGAAAAGTAAATCAGCCGCACGTTGGAGGTGTTATTCGCAGGCAGATAAGCAAGCCGTCTGCCTATAATCAAAACACGATTGGATATTCCATTTCGACCGGAGCCCAGAGGTGCCACACACTACGGTACCGTTCTGATTGGGCTACACTGAACTGCATATAAACAAGGGTCAGCGCCCCCTCTCCCCCCGACGCTCTCTCTCTCTCCCTCTCTCTCTCTCTCTCTCTCTCTCTCTCTCTCTCGCCCTGCCAGGCGGCCCGGCTACGCGGCTACTCCCCTCCTTCGGTAATAGTATAGCAAACGGCCCACCAGGTGCCGGCGTCAGCTGGTCCCCCTCGACCTCCCGCTCCCCACTCCCTTCGCCTCCCCGGTTCCCCTTCACCGCCGCCCGCGGCAGGCCGAGCAGCGCCCTGTCTCTCTCGCACTCACGGGGCGTGCCGTAGGGGTGCGAGAGAGACAGAGCGACCCTGCCACGCCGCCCCGGGGCCGGGGTTGATTCCGGCTACCGGCAAGGCGCGCCTCGCAGGGGTCGCGGCAGACCGATTCCGAGAGTCGTTTTCGTCGCTCTGTCTCTCTCGCACTCATGGGGCGTGCCGCTAGGTGCGAGAGAGAGAGAGAGAAACAGAGCGACGAAAACGACTCTCTCGGATTCAGTCTGCAGTTCGGCATTAACACCCTTCAATAATAATTCACCCCGTCGGCTCACTGGGACGGTCCCGGCATGACACCGACGCACGGCGTGCGGGGAAAATGAAATCTTTCTAGCACACAAACGCCCGCACTTAATGTCTACGTATTGTTATTTTTGTTTTCTAGTGGGAAGAAGGGCACCACCCCCAACGCGACAAAATTGTATCCAGCTGGAGACTAATTTTTTACAGACTGGTTACAATGTTGTCGCCGGAGCAATGCGCTACAAAATCGGTTTAAGTAGAAAACAAAACATTTTCCATGTCCACGTACACTACACAATAAGTGTCCACGCTGGTAAACCAAAAAAACTTGACCGCAGGGGCCCGCAAAGCAGGTCAGTGCACTAACATTTTTAACATTTTTTTGATGCTTGACTGAACATTGAACACTCGCGGTGCTGCATCTGGAACCCGCAGTAGGCTACGCGGTGCACCAAGCACAGAGTACTCCGCGCAGACACTCCTTCCGCGCTAATCACAATTTCTCATACCGCTTGCTCCTATTTTTTCCCCTAGGCTGCCCGGGACGGACGGGCCCCGCGATAGGCCCCACAAATCGCCCCGCCTCGCCAAGGCGGCCGTGGCGCTAATCAAGACATTGAGTAATTTTGGGTGCGGATACTCCCTGAGAGCAACGCGGCCAGCCGGGCAGGCAGGCAGGCAGGCAGGCAGGCAGGCAGGCAGCGGCCGGCTCTTGGCCTGCTGGCGCTCTGACTGACTGGCTGACTGGCCGGCTAGCCGTCTGGGAGTGGATACTGACCTGACACAGATTACACAGTGGCGGCGCGGACTGCGCAACATTCTGTACAATTACTGAGCCCAGTCCCAGTGGAGTGGAGCTGCCACAGCACTGCCACAGCACTGCCACAGCGCCGGCTAAGAAGTTCTTCTGGGAAGGGAAAACCTCCGAACGGCCGGCCGCGGTAAAAGGCAGCCAGAGGACCGCGAGGCGGCGCGCTGCAGCCCCGCCGGGTCAAGGGGCGCCGCCCGTCGTCCTGGGCGGTGCAGTGCAGCGTGCTCATCTCGGCCCATCCCGGGGAACCGTCTCTGTCGCACTCATTGGGGCGCACAGTGGGCCAGAAGACCGGCCAGGCGGCCAAAACTCAGACGCGTTTTGAGCTCCAGAGTCGCTAAATGGGACTCGAACCGATCGTGTGACCCCACCAATGGATTCCTCGTCCGGAGAGCAATCGATTGGTGGGGTCGCACGCTCGGTTCGAGTCCTATTTTAGCGACTCTGGGGTTCAAAACGCCGAGTGGGTAGGCAACAACCTGCATGCAAGACGCCGCTGTTTGGCGGGTTGCCTACCCACTGCCAGGCAGGCTGAGACGGGGTAGGCAACCCGCGGGACGCCGCTGCATCCTGGTCGCATGTTGCCTACGCTGCTAGGCGTCATGGCCGCGCGCTGCGCTGCGACACAGACCCGCGACGACAGCGGCGTTCCGCGTTTTGCTCGCGGTCCACGAGAGGTTCCCGGGGTCCCTCCAGGGAGGCGGGCCAGTCCACGGCAAAACTCGGCCGGCTTGAGTCGCGCCACTCTCGGGCCGGCCGGCAGCGGTCACCACCGGAAGTGGCCGCGCCGCACCGGATACGCGACGGGCGACTCCGGGGCTCCGGGCTTTTCTGCCGCGCGGCGCGCCGGGCCAGCGCATCACACCCGTCTGCTTGAGCACACAGTGGGCCAGAAGACCGGTGGAGGCGGCCAAAACCGGCCAAAACTCCAGACGCGTTTTCAGCTCCAGAGTCGCTAAATGGGACTCGAACCGATCGCTTGACCCCACCAATGGATTGCTCTCCGAACGAGGAAACCATCGGTGGGGTCACACGTTCGGTGTGAGTCCTGGTCAGCGACTCTGGAGCTGAAAACGCGTGTATAGTTTCGGCCGCCTGCACCGGCCTTCTGGCCCACTGTGCAGCGAAAGGTACCTCAGTCGTTCACAATCCCATCGCGGCAGAGGAGCGAGCGCTCCACGCTCCGCCCCACACGGCTCGCTGCCTGCTCGCAGCGCTCCGAACCAAAATAAGCAATTATACGAAGGACCCGGGTTCAAACACTGACGCCGCCAGATTTTTTTACCCCTTCCGCCGTGGGCCACTTTGACGACCGGAGCGCGCGCGCTGTGGCCGGGACTGTGGCCGGGACTGGACCGCGGCGGACGACGCCTCATTTGTTTCTTATTAGGTCCTTCGAGGGGTCAGGGCACTGTGTGTGTGTGTGTGTGTGTGTGTGTGAGTGTGTGTGTGTGTGTGTGTGTGTGTGTGTGTGTCAGTGTGTGTGTGCGCGCGGTGCAGCGTTGCACAGGGTGCGTTGCCGGCTGCCTCGCCGATGGCGGACGCATTATAAAGGCATTAGAGCTCCCCCGCATTGCCCGCCGCCCCACCCCGCCCCGCCCCGCCCCGCCCCGCCCCGCCCCGCCCCGCCCCGCCCCACCGCGCCACGCCCAGCCAGGTTCACACTCAGCGGCGCACTCCCCGGGGACCAAAAAATACGTTTTTAATTTTCAGCGCGAAAATACGGCGCATTTTTGTCGGTTTCGCCGCCTTGCTTGCACCCCTCCATGATCATCATACGCGGCGCGGCCCGGTGCAGCCGGGCGGCACTGCTGTTGTTGTGGGCGGTTTCGCTGCTATTGATGCTGTTTAATATTTCTACTACCCAGTTCTACTTCCGGTGGGGCACGCGTGGTGCGGCGTTGCCGCGCTGTTGACTCAGGTCCGGGTGCCGCCGGCCTCACTTGCCCTTCCCTCTCACCCCACCCCCTCTCCCCCCCCTCCCCTCCCCACTTCCTCCCCCCACTCACTGGCCTCTCGTAGGGCTCATCAAGACGACGACAATAAGATAAAAACTCTGCTTTATCTCGGGTTTTCACCGAAGCTTTAGTATGACGACGACCCCGCGCTTTCCTCCCGCAAATCTCATCTTCTTCGCCAACTTTGCAGTGTACTCACCTGCAGGAACATATCACCGTCCAGAGGGGTGTGGTCGTACGCCGTTAATTCCCCTCGACTTCTGTAGTGGGGATCTTCCTTGTCTTTGTGCATAGTAACTGCAAGCAGAAGAGATACCAGGCCGATTACTCAACGCGAATGCACTTCCTGAGAGGAGCAAACGTCTACACCCAGAAAAAAAGTTCTTTGTTATAAAAAAAAAAAAAACAAGAAAAAAACAACATCTTGACACAAGAAGACTTTCTTCAAATATAAAAAATCCATAAAAGTCAATTTTTTAATCAAAGAAGTCATTTTTTCTCGCTAGAAATCACAGGAGTTGCGAATAAATTTTTTACAAGAATACAAAAAAATTACAAGAATTCCTGTTGGTTCCTACTACCACGCATTTTAAGTAGATGGCAATGAAATTCTGACGATTTCTGCAAACATTTATCAGTATTCATGGAGATCGTTTTCGGTGACCATTATTTGACATGTGGCTATCCTTGGCAGAAATTCAACACCCACCAAACTGATATATTTTTTACAGTCGTAAACACGTCATTGTTTACAAACAGTTTACACACGCCGCTTCGATGATCGGGCAATTCATGCACTGAGTGCGGTCTGGGGGCAGAGCAGGGCACAGAGCAGGTGCCATATCGTTTACGTGTCGGTGGGGTAGCGCCTGTCAAGTAGGCATGGCCAACAGTACCCAATCGACGCGCCCCCTACGTCTCAATATCACACTCACTGCGCCACTGGAAAAACACACAGACGCACACAAACGCAAACACACACACACACACACACACAGTGACTTTTCGACCACGTCACGGTGAGTCAGCGGCAATGCGCAGGGAGTGCAATCCGAGGTAATCACTCGGGTTAAACGGGCCACTCTTTGCTCTAACACCGCCGACAGTCTGAATCCGAAGGCTGTTCTCTCTCTCTCTCTCTCTCTCTCTGTCTATCCAACGCTCCGTGAGTGGGAGGGAGACAGAGCGACGAAAGTGCTTTCGGAATCAGCCTTGCAGGGGAAGGAAGGGTGAAGGCGCTGCTAATTTATGTCGACTCCGTTCGCTTTCCTGAGCAAACGCGTTGCAACGGGGAGGGAAGTCCCTGGCGCCAATTTAAAGTGAAGGGAAGGTAATACAAGAAGTTTATTTGATTTCTTAAAGAAGTACAAAAAAAAAGTTCAATACAAAAAAAGAATAAACAGAAAAAAAAAGTGTGAACTCTATGCGACACGAAAGCGCCCAAGTCCTCCAAAAAGCCATAGAAAGATAGAGCCATATTCATCTCGCCGTAAGTATGTGAGCGTCGAGTGTGTGTGTGTGTGTGTGTGTGTGTGTGTGTGTGTGTGGTGAAATGCACAAGGCCGGCATCGCAGCGGCCTTGCCCCCTTCCCCCTGCCACCCGCACGCACGGGCGGCACACTGGCGCAAGCACGCGAGGAGACACGCTCGGACACACGCGTGAGGAAAGCTAATAGAAAAGACAGCGGGCAGAAATTAGCAATCGGACTAATTAGGGAATCCCGGGAGTGCCTTCCGTTGACAGTGCGTCGGAAAGCCCTCCGAAGGAAAACGAATAAGAAAACGAACGCCATGCATGCATGCGCACTCGTACACCACACACACACACACACACACACACACACACACACACACACACACACACACACACTGCCAGAAGAAACGGGATATACTTTTCGTTTGTATCAGTCGTGCGGCCAGATCGATAGCGTACGAGGCACTAGTCGGTGTCCTGGACGACTTGTGAGTGGCAAGGTGTGTACCCAGCCCAGCCGGGCCCTGCCGTGCCCGCCAAGCGCACTCCACCGTGACGGCGTGTGGCGTGGCGTGGCGGGGCGGGGCGTGGCGTGGCGGGGCGGGGCGTGGCGGGGTGGGGCGGGGCGGGGTGGGGCTGGCGTCTGCTCCGGCACGGCCGGCACGGCTCGCGGTAAACTTTCATACGGAGCAGTAGTTCTGGGAAACGCCAAGCGTTTTTGTTTTCATTTTTTTTATGCATCCTTCTTTTTTTTTCGCGTGTCTTATGGCAAACAGGGTCATGCACAGTTATGGCAAGCGCCCATCTCGGCGCACCCTTTGAATTGCACTTAAAAATTAATTTGGTTTTCAAATAATCTTTCAAACTTTTTGGGTTTTTATTGTAGACCACAGATTAGTAAATCTTTTGTGAAATTAGAAGCGTAACAGTAAAAAATCGCCCTATGACGGAAGCTGAAAAGAGCTACAAATGTTACTTGCCTACGACCATAACTGCACCCCACACTGGCAAAGGCGGGAACCTGGAAGGGGAGGTGAAAGGGGGGGGGGGTCGAAAATCAGGGTAGCAGCTGTTGTGGGGAAGGGGGTGAAACTGAGCCGGGTGGAATGCTTCATAGGTAACGGTGCACTGCGAGGTTCGCGAAGCCGTATCGAGCGCCCCAACGTCGCGGCAAGCGGAGCACTGCCGCCGCACCAAGTTTTTCTGCCTTTCAGATTTCACCCCCCGCCCCCAAGTCAACGTACTTGTGAGGAAATGATAAAACAGTGGAGACGCCGCTCAAATCGTTTTCCGCTGGCGTGGGAGGTGGCACGGCACTGGCACACCAAGCCATGGCGGCACGGCGCGGCACGGCGCGGCACGGCGGGGCCCTGCAGGGCGCGAAGTCACCGTGGCGTGGTCAGGTAATTAAAAGACCCTGCGCCGCCAAAGACTTGTCAACGAGCCCGGCCTGCCCGCCTTCCTCTCCGTCATGGCACTAAACAGCGTTACGCGGCCCGGCCTCAGCGCAACTCAAAACTTTTAAAGTTTAAAACTTCAAAAGTTTTTTAAAAATTTTCAAAAGTTTATTCAAAACTTAAAAAAAAACTTTAAGTTTTAAGTCCTTAGTTTTTTTTTGCAAGTTTTTGAACTGTAAAGATGCTTTCTATTAAATAAATTATGAGCAAAATTTTCACCGAATTTGGTGGGAAACTTTCGATATGAACATATTGGAAATTTGGGATGGCTATCAACAACTGACTGGCACGACCTTGAACTACTACGACGGAATAGTTTGAAATGATGTTATTAAACTTTTTTGCAAGGTTCCCTTGAGCGCTCAACACAGACACTCCCTGTCTCTCAAATCATTCGTCAGAAAACAAAAGTTGCTAAGGAGAGAAAAAAGGGCGAGGGGACAGGCCGACCCCTTCCATCACAGAGCTGCACGCAAACGGCAACTCTGTATTCGAACCATATGTACACACAGAAGTTAGAAAAAAGGTGACTCGCAAAAAAAAGCGGTGCTGTGTTGTAGTCTTGGGTTGAAATAAAAAGGCGAGGTTCGTTTGCGTGTGCAAAAGCTCGCGTTTGGTACTTGGAACGAATGTTCTTGATGGTCGCACACCGTAGGACATACGGGGCACGTTCCCAAACGTGAGAAAGGAGCATTCACGTTGTCACGGCCTTGGAGCAGGGCCGCGCAGTGACCGCTAGCGACCGTACACACACACACACACACACACACACACACACAAACACACACACAAGCAGCACACTCCTATAACGTATATGTGAATAAATCACGACACACTGAATGTATCGTCAGGTTTGTGTAAAGTACTGCCTGCCTCGAAACAGAGCAGCGGGATCGAGTTGTTTTATAATTGATGACATGGTTCGGGGCCCTCATATTTGTGTGAGGTAAAAGACGCGGGGCTCGCGTACAGTCGCAGACAAGAGTTCGTCTCGGAATGACAAGTGTTCGCTGAAGTGGCAGGACTCACCAGTCCCGATCAATTTCGGAAAAATCGTGGAAAATGCTCTCATTTCCCCACAATCCGGCATCGACGAAAAAGCCATTTTGAAGCGGCTGGGACGCGGTTTGGCCCGAGCCAAGATTCATTAGAACCCCCGTAGCGAACTGTGATGAGGTTTACTGTTGTTTGAACAAATAAAGGCTCCGATATCCATTCTGTGGAGTCGAGAAAAGCGCACCCCAGTCCCATAGGCGCTACTATTTCACCTGTGGTACCGTGATCTATCGACAGAGGGGCTGCTGCGCTGTTAATTTACAGCAAAACAAGGAACGAAGACACTGACTGAAGGCGGGGTGCGTCAAGGCCGGTCTGCCAATAGCGCCCCGTGACTCCGAGTAGAAAACGGCACGAGTTGGAGAATTATTTCCTCCCGGTACGAAAAAGGGCAGAGAGAAAAGAGATCAACAATAAATAAAGATTCCCGTCTGTGCGGTGCGCACACTGGGCGCGTGGCGGGGCGCGGCACGGCACGGCAGTGCAATCCTTCAGTCCGCAAATCGATCCCTGTCGTGCACGGCTCGGCACGGCACGGCGCGCACGCCGCGGCTGGACCGCTCCGGGGGAGGTGGCGCCCCACGAGGACGGGCCCCACAGGGACGCCCGGCCGCCGGTCCTCTCCTGCAGCATCGGGGCGTCGAACGCGACCAGAGGGTCCAACGGGCGCCAGCAGACCGATTCCGAGAGTCGTTTCCGTCGCTCTGTCTCTCTCGCAGCCATGGCGCGGGCGCGTCCCGTAGCGGTGCGAGAGAGACAGACACTCGGAATCAAATCAGGCAGCTACAGCAGGAGACACCGACAAAGACACCTCCGTCGGGCTTGCTCGCCGACAGGCTGGTCACCGGACAGGAGTCAAACCCCAAACCCAACCCCCAATCACCTCCGGGTTATACAAAATTCTCGAACTTTGTCTTGGTCTCACTCGGGAAACCCCCAAGCCACAAATTTCCCGGACAAACGCGCTCTAAGTTATCCCCTGCCGGATCCAATGCAAGCAGCCCGGCCCGATGTCGTTCCGCCCGCCGTGAAGCTTGCTCGCTAATGTAATGAGGCCCCGTGCCAAACCAAACTAATAAACTCCCAACCGACGGGCGACAACAGACACAACAGACTTGGCCGAATTCGAACTGCCGGGCCGTAGCGGTAGCAGGGCCCAAGCGCCTCAGTACCCCTACCGGCCGGCCACTGCCAAAGGGAGTCCGCCGCTTTCTGTCGGCCCGACCCGCTAACACCGCTAACAATGAGGGCCACGTGCCAAGCAGGCGGACGCATCACTCAGAGGAGCGAGAGAGAAGTGACAGAAAAGA